CTGCATTCATAAATAGTGCAATTATCTTCTTTACACATTAATGGAATTCTCAGATTTTCTGTAGCCATAATAAAATAATCCACTAGATAAAGAAATCATTTCAAAATAGTTGTATGTGTGCTGGTGAGTCTTGATTGTCAACTTAAGAGGATTTGAAATCACCTGGAAGATGACTCTATGGTATGTCTATAAGGAAGTTTTCAGAAAGGTTCAACTGAAGAGGGAAGACCCACCCTAAATGTGGGCAGAAGTCATTTCATAGGTGAAGGTCCTGGGCTGAGTAAAAAATGAGAAGCAAGCTCCTTGACTGCAGATGCAATGTGACCTCAAGTCTGCCCTCATGACTTCCCACCATGATGGACTGTGGTGATTTGAATGAGAATGATCCTCATAGGCTCATAAATTTGACTGCCTAGTCACCAGGGAGTGGAATGATTTGGGAAGGATTTGGTGGTACAACTTTTGTTGGAAAAAAGTGTGGTCTTGTTGGAGTAGCTGTGTCACTGGGAGTGGGCTTTGAGGTTTCAAAAGCCCAGGGCTGACCCAGTGTCTTTGTCTTTGACAACTGCCTGTGAATTAGGGTGTAAAGCTCTCAGGTACTGCTCCAGTACCATGCCTATCTACTTCCCACCAAAATGATCTTCACCTAACTCTTCGAAACTATAAGCAAGCTCCCAATTAAATTATTACTTTTGTAAGTTTCCTTGGTTATAGTGTCTCTCATAGCAATAAAACAGTGACTAAGACATGGCCTGTACCCTCAAGTCAACCAGAGGTTACAAGTTCTTCTGTTAAATAAAAATGGTGGAGTAGATAGTTCTACTTGACCACAGTGTCTTCCTACCTGCTTGCTACCTTTGGTCTCAGAGGACTGACTTCCCTGCTAAGAAAGATGGCAGGAACCCAGTAGCTGAGACATTTGAAGAACAAGATCCAAATTCATCCGGAAGTGGGATGAAATCCTTACACATTAAACTTAGCCATCACATATTCTCATCTACTTCCTTCCAATCCCATTATTCCAGGAACCAGGGTGCCAGAATATTATCTCATCCCTACTCAATCTTTAATATTTTTAAAAGCAGCTGACATCATAGGGAAAACCTGAGAACAAGACTTAATGAAATAAAACGTGTGCATTCCTTTTCCATCACATAGTAATATTATAATGCTTTATTTCTATTTAAAATAAATCCTTGAGACCAAAATAAATATGTAAAAGTGCTTGTGGTAGCTATTCTCAGTTGTCAACTTGACTGCATCTGGAATTAATTAAAACCCAAATGACTGGGCACACCTGTGAGGAATTTTTTTCTTAACTGCATCATTTGACATGGGAAAACCCACTTCTAATCCAGATTTTTGAGCTGGGAACATCTACCTTTAATCTGGGCCACACCTGTTGGCAGCCTATATAAAGGGCACGGTAGAAGTTCATTTCTTCACTGGCATTACAGCCTACTTTTTTGTGAGTCTGTCATGTACTGAAGACCAGCTGAGACATATGGCCTCAAAGACTAAACAACTACTGGATTCTTGGACCTTCTGTTGGTAAACAGGCATTGTTGGACTAGCTGATTCTAATAAATCCTGTGGTGTGTGTGTGTGTGTGTGTGTGTGTGTGTGTGTATTCATTTTAGAAGTTCTGTTCCTCTAGAGAACCCTGACTAATACAGTGTCAACATTCTAAAACTTGATTTTATTAATTAAATTTGTTTTTAGATAATTTTGTACATGTGCACAATACATATCAATCATTATTTTTAGATAATCTTGTACATGTGCACAATGCACACAATCATTTTCACCCCTACTTCTCCACTACCAATGTCAACCCTCCCTCATACTTACAAATCTCTCTCATATGTTCATGACTATTTGTTTTGTTTTGTGAACTACTGAGATTAGCCAGGACTGTCTGCGTGACCATGGGTTTGGAACTATATGTTGGAGCCTGGTGGGCCTAGCGGTTTGTATACAAAAAAGACAGTGGTCCCTGTCTTCCAGAGTCTATCAATAGTCAGTAGTTCAGAGGTAGTGGATAGGAGCCTTGAGTCCCTCAACCTTCCATGACTTACTGTTGATAAGACCAGTCCTATGTGAGCCAAGGGCAGGTAACACAGTTATTGTCAATAATCATAATAGTAATTTGGAGCCCACAAAATGGTGCTTTGTAGCCCTTCACTCTATCTTCTGACTCTTAGACATTTTCCAACCCCTTTTCTAAAACACTGCCTGAGTCTTAAAGGGAGTGGTATACAGGTGTTGTTTGGGACTGGGCCCACAACCATTGTTTATTGTCTGCATCTTAGGGACTGTGCATCTCATCTAAAGGTGTATTCTTGAAGAAACAATTCTTCTGTGAAAGCCTATAAATAAGCAGAAAGTATTTCACTGAAGGACAGATTCTGAGACAGACACGGTATCATGTGTCTATCTTACCAGCTCCAGTGGAGGCAGGAGAATCAGAAGTTCAAGGTTATCCTTGGCTACATGCAAGTTTAAGACCAGTCTGGAAAACCTGAAACTTTATTATGAGAAACGGAGGAAGAGAAGGAGGAGGTGATGACAAAGAAGGAGGAGGAGGAGGAACTATTTCACCTAATAGCAGTCTGGTTTTTCTTTCTTGTTCCCCAGAGGAGACCAGGTACCTTTGGAAAAGACGACAAAAGCAAAAGCACCTCTTCCCTCAGACCACACCAAAAGAGAATCTCTTTTTAGCCTGGTTTATATCAGCCTCTACCTGATACTTTTTAAGATTTGAAAGGTTAAATAAATAGAACAAAGACTTCAGAACCGACAGGAATCCACAATGTGGTTTAGGGAACTTACAGCAGCAGAAGATCACCCGATTAGTAAGAAGTTAAATCGTGTGCCCCAGAGGTAGGCATTTAATGGACCAAATTATATGTGTGTTTTTCTGATCCGCAGGTCTACAGAGCAGGCAAGGGAGCAGGTGCTGCTTACGGAAAACACAGGCTCTTTTAGTATCATCTCTGCTACTTCCCAGCCAAGGGCACCCATAATTACTGCTCCTAAGCTGAACCCTCAACCCCACTATGCCACACATACACATACCCGCTGCTGCAAATTGTATTGGCAATTAATTTGTCAGGAAAATGCTAGGGGATGTGAACACTGGTAATTTTATACCATAGATATTCAAATTAAGCCTCCAGCCTAAGTATTTTTGGTGTCAACTTGTAGAATTGTTGCAGAAGAAGAGAAACACAGCCTTCTCGTGCTAGCTCCCGAGGAGGACAGAAAGAATGCCACAATGTAGATGTTACAGCCTGGCTCCATCTGTGGGCTTGACTTGGGGACATTAAGAACAGAAACACTAATTATAGGTGACACTCCTTGTGTTCCTCCTCTAGTGAAGGGGGGTACATTGGCTGTTTTTTCTGTATCATTCCTCAAGTGCTTGGAATGTTTGGAATGTTCTTAATGGAAAGCAACTGTATCAGCTACTGATGACCTATGAATCCCACTCCAGTATCACACCATATTTTCCCAGACTGACTGTGCAGATGTATAAGGAAGATGGAAAGACCCTGGGCCAAATGAAAGATCTGCAGGACCAGTGTTTCAGGCAGCATCAGCGGGCAGTCCCCCCAACCATCTCAGTATGCCTCTGGGACACAGAAGCCTCATTAAAGAGAAAAGCATTATTCTAGTTTTATTTTGTCACTGTGATAAAATACCCTGGGAAAAGGCAACTCAGGGGAGAAAGGGATTATTTTTAGATCACAATTCCCAGCCACAGTCCATCATTGCAGAATGGGATGGGCAGGAACTTCGACCAGGTAATCGCATCCACGTCAAGAGCAGAGAGAAAAAGAATGGGTGAACAGATTCAGCTGGCTAGCTAGCCAGCAAGTCTTAGAGATGCTCCTGTCTCTGCCTCCTCACCATGAAATTCCAGGTGCACAACCACCATGCATAACTCTTACACATGGGTTCTTGAGATCAAATTCATGTCCTCATGCTGGAGCAACAACTGACTGAGCCCATACTCATTGTTTAGTTCTTTAACATATGATACAAACTGAGTGCATAGAATCAATGACATAAGCATGTTGGCATTGTTGCAAGAAAAATGGAAGTCATGGATACCTAAGATTAAGCTCCACACAAAGCACAACCATTTCTCAAAACAATAAGAAACACAAGAGAGTCGGTTTAGAAAAGGGAATTCAGAGAGTTTGAGACAGGATCTCACTATATAGCCCTGGCTAGCCTGAAACTAACTATGTAGACCAAGCTGGCCTTAAACTTGCAGCAATCCTCCTGCCTCTGCTTCCTGATTACTAGAATTACAGAAATGAGCCACAACACTCATCCTGAGGAAACTAATTCTTTAAAAAATCATATTCCTAGTCACTAACTCTGTTCTATTAAGTCAGGTTCTGCAGATGAGACCCAAGAAATGGTACTTTTAGGTAAGTTCTGTAGTACAGTCTATGGTTTCTGAAGACTGAAAACAATCATTGAAACAGATATTATAAAATAAATGTTAATCTCACAGTACTATATCTAAATAAGATTTAAGAAGTTTATATACATAGTGCAGGATACAAAGCCTTGAGCAGGTAAATCTTGTCCTAAGAGATCACAGACTATGAATTACACATTACTCTCAAGAGACTGTTTGCCCCACACTAAGACATGAGGTTGTGCAGCTTGATTAGTTTGAGAACTGTTTTTTTTTCCTTATCTCCATTCTCTATTTGGCACAAACATCATTATTAATGTGTCATTCCATTTCATTTTACTCTTCTTCACATTCAGACACCACTTCTTTGACACACTGAGAGTCAAGGATGGGGCTTCACCTCTGTGCATCTGTTATAGCACCTGTTAGCAGCTCCTTTGGCTCTGGGAGCTGTGAAGGAGGCAGAACCCTAACATGATGAGAGATACAGAACTCAGGATCCTTACACTCTAGGGTGGTAGGAGGTTCTGTCTTAAGGTAAACATCAATGGGTTGGAACACTTACTGCGCTAAGAGAGATTTCCCAGCCCATATCCCCCTGAAGATGAAGAGGTGGAATTGATCCTGGAAGCATGGAGACAACGTAGCAGGTATTTGCTCTCCTCGCTCAGAGAAATTCTGTATTTTCATTGGAAATTCTTTCCAGGTTGCTCAGTCTCCAACAACAGAGAATTGTGGAATCATCTCCTCTTCCATATCCCACGTTCAATACTAGAGAAGCTGGATGTAAAAAGCAAAGATGTATAAGTGCTTGCTAATGCAGACCAACAGCAGAAACATTGCTTTCCTCCCCATCCAGCTCCCTTTCATTCCATAGAAATATCTCACAATTAGGCAATTCCCTTTAACTTCAGCCATCTCTGGAAAAAACATCAAGAAAAATCCCCTCAATCCAAGTCAAAGAACAGATGTCCTGTGCAGCAGGTAGAGACAACTGCCTTCCCTAAAACTTTGTAGACAAAGTTGACATACAAACCATCAGGAAATAATCTGGAATAGTCCAATTCTAAAATAACCAAACTAGTTGATGACCAGCTCCACTCCTCTAGACAGATACCTTTCCAGGAAATGTGTGGGCAAGGAGGGTTTTCTGAGACGGCATCTGTTCCCTGAAACAAAACAGACACAACACAACACAATGAATTCTACATTCATGCAGTGATTTCTTACCTAGAAGTCCCTCTGCTGGGGATGGGGACCACCACTACCCTGTAGATTTTGAATTCTTCTCCCACAGAATCAACAGTGAGATAAATGGCTTCCCCCTGATAGACTTTCACACTAAGATGTCCCCAGATTCATAGGTGTCCCTTTTAAATGTAATGTCAGCAGTATAGACAAATGGGCCTGGAAGGAAAATTATAATTTAAGCATCTTTGTCATCTTGAGACCAAGAAGTTAGTCCCTTTTGTGTTTCTTTTCTTTCTTGTCAGTAGTCCTAAGTAGATTTCTAAAAAGAAAAAAAGAAGAGGGAGGGGGAGAGAGAGAGAGAGAAAAGAAGGAGGAGGAGGAGAAAGAAGAGGAAGAGGAAGAGGAGGAGAAGAAGGAGAAACCTCATATAGAACATCTTTCTTGTTTCTTGTTTCTAGGGCCTGTTCCCATACAGACACTGGTGAGCTATGTAAGAAGCCTGTTCCATAGCTAGAGAGATGGCTTAGGCATTAAGAGCTCTTGTTGCTCTTGCAGAGGACCTACATGATACAGTTCACAACCTTCTGTAACTATAGTTCCAAGGGACCTGTCACCTCTTCTGACCTCAGAGGGCACCACGCATGCACATGGTGCACATATATTCATGAAGGCAAAATAGTCACACATAAAATAAATAAATCTTTTTTTAATTAAAAAAAAGACACCTTAATCTGACTCACCCTAGAATCCAGGCATTACTTATAGGTGAATCACAGACAGAAAGAACTGAGACCTGGAGCTAAGGATACAGGCAAGCTGGGGCTGCATCTGTGTCTTGGATGCTTGGCAACAGGAAATGGGAGTTGATAAAGAGATGCATCGCTTTCTCCAAGTGTGAGACTTTTCTTGTTTATCACAACTAAGGCTGGCCATGTCCAGTTAACTATAAGGATACAGGGTAAGATGTGAGAAGCAGGAAACTGGCTAGAGCCTTCTGCTAGATCAGCACTGCAGGTGCTAGCTTATTTAGGATTTTGTGGAAACTGGGGGAAAAGTGCCCACTCAAAATATTTTGCCGCCCTCTACTGGGATGTTGTCAAAATAACTCATAGCACCTAGGGTGACTGCCAGTGAATGCTGCCTCCTGCAGGTGGGCCCTGTTTCTGCACACCCCACACTAACAGGAAAACACCCTGGAAGAAAATCAATTCTGGCAGGTAAAAAAGGAAATCCCGAGACTGTGCAAGCCAAGGCACAGCCAGGGCTTAGTCTACAACATGCAAAACATGTAAATCATTGGAGGCACAAGCAGACAAAGCAATCCAATGAGCACTCAGCTCCAGAAGCCAGTGGGACATGGTCTCCTCTGGGTTGAGGCTGATCAAACACCCAGCTGTTCATGGAGGTGGAAGGAGCCTGACAAGCTCAACTCAATCCCAAGCACTGACCAGACTGAGGGATCAGGGCAGATGTAATCACCGAACCCGACACAGATCTTCAGAAGGTAACTTTGAGTCTCAACAGGTAAGGGAAACCATAGGGCTCCAGGTAGAGTCACCCAGCCTCAGCTGTTAATACAGCAAAGCTACAAAGCCTGGGGTTGTGGCAGGGTCAATAATCATCCAATAGACAGCAACTGGGTTTCTACTATTAGCTAAGTGTAAGTTACAGTAACTGAAGAGGGCAAAGGATTGAATTCTGGTTGTAGGGCCATGCTCATGATTTACATCGGGGATTCATGGACTGATTAAAAAATGGACTCTAACACACCTTTTAGGTGCTGTGTAAATTCATTAAAATATCAATAAATTTTAGTGAGTTCCTTCTATGTATCTACTCCTGCAGTAAGCAGTGGAAAGCCAGAAACGGTCTCTGCCTGCAAATGTCTATTTACAAGCAAATAATTAGTTACAACCAGGAGTAGCACAATGGACTATACTTGTTTTGGAGATTTGGTCTTTTGAAACAAGGTCTCATGTAGCCTAGGCATCAATCTCCCTAGGTCTGTAGGTGAGAATGACCTTGAATTTCCAGTCCTCCTGCCAACTCCTCCCAAGTGTTGAGCTTACAAGTACATACCACCACACCTGACCCTTAATGCCATGGACTATCAAAGAAGAAGGGCACCAAACTCAGTCTTGGGGAATATAGAAATGAGCCCCAGAAGAAATGATAACTAACGTGAAAAGCATGAAGTTGCTCCTCTCAAAAGACTAGGGCAGGAGAATACACCAAGCTACCCACACATGGATACTGATTGTTTAAAGTGTGACCATGACATTGGAGACACTAAATTTAAATTTTTAAGGTATTGTGGCTTGAACCTAGTGTTAGGCAAGCACTCTACCACTAAGCTACATCCCCCAACCCTAATTTTACCTTTTATTTAAAAACATGGTCTCACTAAGGTGTCCACATTGGCTTTGAACTAACTTTGTATCCTGAAGTAGGACTATAACATGTGATTCTCCTGGCTCAGCTTCCCTAGTGTTGGGGTTACAGACCTATCACCTGATCTAGCTGAGAAACTATAAACAATTATATTTCATTTTAACTCATTTAAAATTTAAAACTGAAGGAACACAATTTTTCCCTTAACTGTAACTTTATTTTTGAAATTATATTGCACCTTAGCCAGTCTATTGCCCACAATCACGCTGCATGTACCTTTGCCTTTTATAAAACTTTATATATTACACACGTGGCTTTTATTCTGTTTCTATATTCTAGACCAAAGAGATAGTCATGGGGATTGAAAAGTGAAGTGGAGTGCCCATTAGAGTGCTGGGAGAGATGTCTGCTCACCTGCTACTTGCTCTTGCCTGGAAACATTAAAGCAAAGTGCTCTTGGGAGATCCTAAGTGGCAAAGAAAACAACTGAGGTTTAATACAAATGAAAGCAAGATGACTTTATGAAGAAATGGGTGGCATGTGCTCAGGCAAAGACTTTTTAGAACATTGCATAATCTGGTTCAGTGTAGGGTACAGCTGCTTGCCTGCATTACATCCATCAGCGTGCATTAGGCAGTAAGTAACAAAAAGACATTGATGTAAACCTAAAAGCCATTCACTGTTTACTTAGGAAGCCGGTGGGGAGGAGGCCATGACCGGTTCAGCGGCTCGAACATGTCTTCAAGGATCAAGCCACGGCTACCTTACCTACCACCAACCTAAGAATTTTGTTTGTTTCCTCAACCTTGTTATCATGAAGATTCCAAAGAGGCAACAGGAGCTTGAAGGGCTAGTTGGAATATTCCTTTAGACCATGGGCAGTGCTTTGACAAGGAGGCAAAGGGAAACTAGAAAGCCATGAAATATTTACCTTGGTCCTAAGCACCCTGTTGCTGCCATGAGGACTGTCAGCAAGGACTAAGAAAAAGCAGCTCAGAGTGTCAACCACACATACCAACGGTGTGGCGTTTATTTCATGATCCTTACGTATCCCACTGCCTTCTAACAAGCAATCAGCTAGAAGGTGCTCTCTTAAATGGGAACACAGGTGATTCTCATAATAGTTTGCCATGGCAGAAAGAGATGAGAGATACAGTCAGAACAGGCCATAGCAACCCATATAGCCCAAAGGCAATTAGCATACAATCCCCCAATCTCACCTAAGAGTGGTGATGTCATCTCAGAGCATTATCTTCAGAGAGAAGGACAGTGTGGGATTCACAATGACTGTGAAACTTGCTTTACTGAGAAATTTTTTTTCATGTTTCTATAAAGAGGATGAGAAAATTTCAAATTGGACAGCATTTGTGAGCCAAGAACAAGTTATTTTTCAAATTTCTCCAAGAAATAAAGGCCACTAATCCTACCAGATACACATGGTATTTAAGACAAATCTCTACAGACAAATAAGCTAGTAAAAGCTACAACATAGAAACTGAAGAGTGAGAAGCAACAGGGCTGGCCACTGAAGAAAGAAGATCTTCATGTGACTGTCATGTGGACATCAAAATGCACCTTTGTGATGCACCTCTTAAAATCACTGTCAGTCTTTCATGTGAAATGGACTTGCTACAGGGAGACGCCATAGGTTCGTCCTCAGCTAGTACACCGATCAATGAGAGGAATGATCCATTCGCAAATCAAGTTACACCTGGGAATTAGGAGCACCTATGGCCCTTTTTTTCTTAACTTGTTTATTTAGTTGGATGTGAGGGTAGATGTTGGCAACACAAAGGCAAAGAATGCTGGGTGCTACCCATTCTCTGTTCACAGCCTAACAAGAGAGACGGGAAAACAGATCAGTGCCATTCATAGTCCACAAGGTCGTTTATTAATGAAGCAGTGGCTATTGGAGGGTCGTACAGATTGTATTAGTTATGTTTCACATTGCTGTGGCCAAAATATCTCATAGAAACTAGGCAGGGGGGGTGGCTCACTTAGTTCCATTCAGTGAATACAGTCCACCATGGCAGGGAAGGCATGGCAACTGGGGCTACAAGGTCCTTGACAGTGGGAGCTTGGGATGAGACCTGTTTTTCATATCTCAGGGAATCAGAAAACAAAGATACAGAGATGACGTTTACCTGCCTAAAATTCCCCCAAAGCCCCAAATCCATCACATAGGCCTCACACCCAAAAGATTCCATGCCCTTCCAAAACAGTTCTGCAAGATGGAGACTGAATATTCAAATAGAAGAGCTTGTAAAAGATGTTTAACATTCAAGTCACAACACAGAGAATGTAATGATTTTCTTGAATATTTAAAATGTCCAGACTGGGACTAGAGAGATGGCTCAATAGTTAAAACAGCTACTGCTCTTTAGGAGGATCCAGGTTGGATTCCCAGAATCCACATGGTAGCTCAACCAGTTCCAACAGACCTCTTGTGGCCTCCTTGGGCACCAGGTGTGCTTATGGTACACAGGCATAACAGTAGGCAAACACTCATACACATATAACAAAAATAAATCTTTAAAAAATTAAATTGAGCTAATATTTTCCAGGAAGGCAAAGAACTAAAGTAGATTCCTGGGCAAGAATACAAAAAGGGCAATTTGAGAAGAACAATATTTGAGAGCTGGAAAGGTACTTTCCCAGGGTTCTCAGGAGATAAAATACAGCAATTATTAAAGTATCTGGTGAGATCTCTAACAATGTATGAGCGTCTGTGGTTGTATTTATCACTATACGCACACTGCTGTTAAGCTGGGTATAAAAGCAGCACCATGTGCATTGACTCCACAGAGAAAAAAAGACAATGCTACTGTTTCCCAGTGAGCAACTGGAGACAAAGGCCCAGCAGGTACAAGGATAGCTGAAATCATGCTATTTAACAGCACGATGACTCTGAAAGCAAAGAGCTTATGAAATCTGTTTCAAGGAGCACTAAGAACTTACCAATGGTATCAGTGTAACTTGGTGATTTAGACAAAACTTATAATGCGACCTTTCATTTCCATCCAGCCTTATTAGCTGCTGGGCATGCCTTGAACCTTTCCTACGGAGCAAGAGGGCAGCCATACTTTTGGAGGCAACAGTCAGCCATACTAGTTATAGCTTCATAACCATGACTAGCATCCCAGCTGTGCCCACCTGTCTTGGTAGCTATGATAACTATTCTTGGCTGTCAACTTGACTATATCTGGAATAAGCTAAAACACAAAAATGGCCACCTGAGGGATTTTTTTGCTTCATTTTAAGTGGGATGATCTACTTCTAATACAGATCTTTGAGGTGGGAACATGTGCCTCTAATCTGAGCCATACCTTCTTTGGACACCTATATAAGGATATGGAAGAAAAGTTTCCCCCTTTGCCATCTTATTCCAGCCTCATTTGCAAGTCCATTCCTTCACTGGCATGAGCACCTACTTCTTTGGGATCCTGGCATATATTGAAGACCAACTGAGACACCCAGCCTCATGGACTGAACAGTTATTGGGTGCCTGGGCTTTCCATTCATAGACAGCCATTGTTGGATTGGCTGGGCCATAGCCTCTAAGTCATTCTAATAAGTCACTTTTCTATATAATAGAGATTCATTATATAAATTTTATTACTCTATGGAACTTTGACTAATGCTGTTTGCAAATCAGCCAAGTATCTTTCGTGTGGAGCTCTGCTGGGATTTGTTTATTGTTTTTTTTGTTGTTGTTGTTGTTGTTGTTTTATGAGACAGGGTTTCTCTGTATTGTTTTGGAGGCTGTCAGTCCAGCCCGGCCTCGAACTCAGAGAGATCCACCTGCCTCTGCCTCCCGAGTGCTGGGATTAAAGGCGTGAGCCACCACTGCCCGGCGCTCTGCTGGGATTTAAGGTAGTGGCTGTAACCAGGATGAGGCTGTTGACACGCTCATCTTGGTTGTGTCACCAGTGATTCCTAAAGTCTGAGAAGTGACCTCAGCTCTGTGGGTTCTGATTGTTCCTCATGTGGAAAAATCAAAGCTAGAGAGCTCTGCTGTGCCTTTGTGGGGCCAAAAAAAAGTATTTTGAAGACTATTTTTCAAAGGCATACTCACCAAGACCCCAAAATGAGCCAGTACTTTATGAAGATGTTCTACCAGAAACTTCCATGGTTTGTGACTTGGTTCACCCAGGTGTAATGATCTTCTGCGTTCTCTTCTGAATCATCTAAGTGAGTTTCTCCAATAAACCCTTTTTTAAAAGATGCCATCCCACAAAAACTTACATTTCACAAATAAATGACAGTATTTATTAGTGATGTAAGGAGTGAGTGTAAAGACTTTCCAAGGAACTGTGTTACAGACTCACTAGGTGCTGTGGTGATGGTGTGTAGTTTTCCTAGAAACTCTGCTTTAGTTACTTTTCTCTTGTTGTGATAAAACACCATAACTAGAGGCAACTTACAGAAGAAAGAGTTTACTTTGGTTCATGATCTCAGAGGACTAAGATATCCATAATGGTAGGGAGGGAGGTACAGAGGGAGGCTACAGGAATAGGAAGCCGGATGATCAACTTTATACCACAGGAAGTCTAGAGGGCAAACTAGAAGTGAGGGAGGAATATAAACTCTCAAAGGCCACCCCCAGTGACATACTTCCTCTAGCAAGACTCCGCATCCTAAAAGTTCCATAACCTTCCCATACTGTGCTGCCAACTGGGGACCAAGTGTTCAAATACATGGGCCTATAGGGACATTTTCATTCACCATCTGCGAAGCTTTGCGCATATCAATTTCTCCTCTGTTGTTACTTATCACACCTGAAAATATTAGTACCATCTCTTAATGTTGATGTTAGACTCAAATAAGATACAGTATGTAAGTAAATTCTTCAACAGCTACATATTGTGACTTTCTCCTATACTAACTGATTCTATCTTGACTAATTCTGAGATGGTAACATGAGAGATATCAAGTTGATCTGTGAGGAAATATACTATCAGAAAAAAAAGATGACTAGTGACCAGCATTTAAGTTGGACATCCTCAAACTTTTGCAGAGATATCCCAAAAAAAGAAATGGAATGTGTGGAGGAAATCAGGAGTATCCTGAAATGGTCCAAAGATATAATTAGCTGGTCATAAAACAGTATAGCAATGTGTTTAACCGGCTAGTTAGGCTTTGGAACCAGAACCCAAGTCAAGACCATGTTCAGACATTCTTTCTTGATGACCTCAGATTTGTCATTTATGCTTTCTAAGTCTAGCTCTTTATTTGATCTGAAGCTGAGACAATAGAACTGCCTTTCTGGAGAGCTGGGATGTGTGAAGCTGAGAGAAAGATAACAAGAGGTAGGAAATCTGAGGTCAAATGATTATGGGAGCTGGACCAGGAAGGAGGACTTAAGAAGAAATAAGACAAGTGAACCTGTAGTGATTCTTTGCTAACAAGAAGCAGCTACTGGACTTTTCAATTTGTGGTCAACGCTAAACAGGGGAGTTGTTGAGGGACATGAAGACCCAGTCGGAGGCAGATGCCCTCCTGAGACTCTGGGTTCCAAGACATTAACTATTTTCCTCTAGAGAAGAAACTTAAAGGATATATCCATTGCTGCCAGAAAACAAGGTCACCATGTGTAACTAAATATTATACTTTCCCTTGAGTTATAAGCCCTCCTTAGTTACCTACCTATTTCTTCCACTCCTTTCCATCATTTTCAGCCAGTACATGTTTACTGGGTGCTTAGTGTGCAGCAACATGGGGCACTGGGGAAACATGGTTCCTGTCCATAGTCTATTGCTGCTCACTAACAACTGTATCACACATAGCTTTATATTTTCTAGTAGACATACTAAAAAGGGAAAATAAACAAGAAACTTACTAAGGTATATTATTTAGCCAAGCACAACCAAAATATCTCAACATGCTCTCTATATTTAAGGAAAATTTTTATATTTTCCATATTGTCTTCAGGAAAAAAATCCAGTGAGTATTTTATCCTTACAAAATATTTCCATTTAGACTAATTTAAAGTAGTCAATAGATGCATGGCTTTAATGCTTTCACATTGATAGCACAGACTTAATAGAGAAAGTCACTATTTTAGAAATGAATATCTACACAGTGCAGAGAAGCTCTGTGTTGTGAGGCTAGCAATGACATAGTGGTGGTTGTTTAGCAACTGGTGACAAGCAGAGTGCATAATTCACAATGATTTTTCATTTCCATAGTGATTTAATGAAATATTGGGTTACCATGATACTTTCCTCGGGATCATTAACTTGTTCTTTAAGTGCTGATGAAATAAACTTCCCTATTCTAGAAGGGGGCACAAAAGTCAGTCAGAGTCTTTCTAAATAGAACTTCAGT